ATTCCTACAGGACAATGGTTTTCAACCTGCGGGTACTGTATTAAAGGGCCGCAGCATTAGGAAGGTTGAGAACCATTGGTATAGGACAACAATTGGCTAGAGTTGAGTGATGACTACTACCATATTTTTAAACAGGGGCATGACTCTCCTCCACTGGGGTCTGTGGATTTTGAAACCTTAATACGTGAGTTTTGTGTGTGTGAATCTAGAGTGTGTCTAAATAGAGTTGACTCTCCATATCTGCAGGTTTTGCATCTGTGGATGCAATCAACTGTGGACTGAAATTAAAAACAAAAATGCAAAAAAGAAACAATAAAAAGCAAATACTACAATATAAGAAATATTTATATAGCATTTACATTTGTAGGTATTATCAGTAATCTGGAGATGATTTAAAGTATATGGGGAGGATGCGTATTATATGGAAAATATTGTATACACCATTGTACATAAAGAACTGTGGATTTTGGTATTTGTTGTGACCCCAAAATTGAGTCACAGTGTGGAGGACTGGGAATTTCCCTACACAGGGACTTTGCCCAACTGCCTGGAGTCTGGCAGACAAAGGGAAAGAAGATGCTGTGAAATTTACACATGTACACATAGTGTTTTGACCCGTGAGACATCAAAACACCTATTAGTCCCCAGCAAGGCTAACAGGGGCCATCCCGACCTGATTATTCAAGATCTTTTATTTGGGTTTTAGAGGATGTGCATATACAAGACAAAAAGTAAGAAAGTAGCAGGTTTGTGTTTCAATTAAACAGGCAGCCTTTGTTCAAGGAAGAAAGCTACCAGGCTGAAGAATAGGGGCACACTAAACTACAAATCAAAGACTACTTGGGGTAGCATTTAATGAGGGAAAGTTACAGCCCACAGGTTAGATAGTCACAGCTACAGGGTACTTATCAGTTATTTTCTAGCTTTATTTATATCTTGTCTCTAAGCTGCTGATCTCTATTTAGACATTTCCCAGACTATTTTCTCATCGACTCTGCTGGACATTCCAACCCCCTTTACCATCTTAGGCATGCACTGCAGTGGAGAGGCAAAGACTTGGGGCCATAAGCCACATAAGATCTCAGAGATGCCAGCCTATTCTAGCTCTCATCCACAAGTGTCTAGGAGGGCCCTGGAATCAAGTCCTGCAGATACTGAGGGATGTGTATGTGTATATAAATAGGTATGTATATGTGTGTGTATGTTTCTATACTTGTGTATGTTTGCACACACACATATACAAACGTAGAAGTCTTTTGATTCTGTAATCCTGATCATATATACATACACATA